CAATGTCGATCTTACTTCAATCCAGAATTTGATTGACGTAAGGAACCAGCTCGACAAGTACGCAGCCCCAGACACCGTCGACTGGCACTTCTGCAACATCAATAACCGCTGGACCAAGCGCTCGCTCGCTGCCGCCGGCTTCGGCTACTACACTCCTGAGATGCCCGATAGCGGCATCACCCACCGATGGAAACCGATCTTCAGCGTCGCCGAAATCGGCGGCTCCGACTCTGCTGCCGCGGAAGCAGAAGCACGCGAGAACCTCCTCGCACAACGCACATTATCGCAAGTACGAAGTCGCGACATTGAGGCTGCGCATCCCGACTCGGGCGATAGCTCCGAGACGGGTAGCATCACCAAGCAGCTGGAGCACAGCAAGGCGTATGGACATGCCGATGCGCAGGATGCTAGGCATAGGGGCCGGATAGCGGTTGTTCAAGGGCTGAACAGGCCGCTGTTCCATGTGGATGTTACAGCTGCGCTTAACAGTGCGCTGGCTAATGCGCAGAGGAAGAGTCACTAACCAGGGTGTTGCGGCCTTTGCGTTGTGGTAATAAGGACTCGTTTTCTTTCAGTACATACTATGTAGAGATGATATCTATTTGCGCTCGGCTCTTTGCCTTGAGTGTTGCTTTCTCTGTTCAAAGACTCGTCTTACGATCTGCATGTGTGATGACGTAAGCGTGCGATGTCGGTCTTGCTGGTAGCTGACGTGAGATGGTTCGTTAGGCGGCCACTGCTTCCTTTCTAGACTGATCACGATGGCAAAGGTGGGATCTGGTCAGTCATGTTGTCTTTGATGATTGTTTTCATTCTATTTAGTCCATTTTCGTGCTTCTGCTCCTGCTTTCCTACGCGTGGGTATATGTACCGCGTCATGCCCCAAACACAAAACATCAACGCCATGCTATGCTCTGTCCAGAACCATTTTTGCCTCGCCCCCATACAGTGAAAGAAAAGTCGTGCTCCTCGTGATAACAGCCAGATGCTGCCCCCAAGATGTCCGCGCCTGCTTGAAAGTCCCGCTCTCTTTGCGCAGACGTTCATGTTTCCGAAAATGTGCTGCCTGGGTTGTGATGTTGTAAAGGTAGTAGCAACACTGGATCCCTGCTCTTCGTTGTTCCATGCCTGATGTCGTACAGATGACATCAAAGTCTTCTTCCTCTCATGTCCTGCGATATTTCATCTCGATGAGCTCGCAAACGATCAACGTCTAGTTGTACGCTTCAGCTGGTAGAGACTCGCGGCTCTGTGCGAAGAGAGCACCAGCTTGCTCGATATTCCACTGTCCAGCCTCCAAACACTGAATAGCGTAGTCGCGCTTAAGGTTGGTTTCGCGCTGAACGTAGAGAATCATCTCTTCCTTCCTCTGCTGCTCCGGGTCGATGATTGCAGGTGTTGGTGTTGGTGTGGTAGCAGCCGGTATTTGCTGTGCGTTTGCTGCGTTGGTGTTTGCCGGCGCGTCAGGACGGACCTGATTGCCATTCAAGATTTTGAGTTTGGGGAACCACGAGACGATTTCGTCTTGCCAGTTCGGGTTGGGAAACGGGTCGACGATGAGGTGTTCGACGTTTCTGAAGCGACCTTTCCATGGCTTTAAGGCGTCCAGCGTCGCGAAAGCGTTGTTGCTTAGATCCAGGTTTTGGATGTGGCGGAAGTGGTTGCAGAGTTGGTAGACGGCGTGTGTGTTTTGGAGGTTGTTGCCTGCAAGTGTGACGCTGTGGATTGCTGCTTCTTTCGCTTCTTGCGTCTCGAGAATGGCGTCGCAAACAATCATGAGGGCGGGAAAGAACTTCTTCTGTGCGCCTTCCGATGCGAACATGCCGGATTGGAGAATTTCTTGGTCGCCGGCGATAGTTGATAAGTTCAACAGCTTGTTGGTTGCATCGTAGCGTCGTCCCAGGAAGCCTTCCATCAGCGGATATGACGGATTTGACTTGAGTCTTTCAAGGGTTTCTTTGTCGAGCGCCGGCTCTCTTGAGCGGTTGTCTGTGCGATTGTCGTGCTGGAAGTGATTTTGGCCTCCCCTGAATCCTCGTCCCCGTCCTCGTCCCCTGCCTCGTCCACGTGAGGACTCGCCATCGACCATCATCTGATCGTCGTCATGGTTTTGTGGTGTGAATGAGACACTCCAGTTCCCGCGCCCTCGGCCGCGACCACGTCCTCGCCCACCTCTTGGTTGATCGTTCATGTTCATTGGAGTATGTTGGTTGTGTGTTAGAAGTGGAAGAGATCAATCAAGCAAGACTGAGCAGATGGGATTGTCTATAAAGTCGGAAGGTCTGTGCGCCGCCAAGCCACAGTTTTCCAGTTCGTCCAATTGTCATTGGCCAAAACCCATGGAACCTTCGACGTCGACCAAGTTCACTGCTATTGTGCTCTTGCTCACCTATTGTTTCATGCTCTTTAGTCATGTCTGCTTATTGAAAATTGTGCTCTAAGTGCAAACAATACGGTTCTCTCGTGCTGACTCCTCGGGTTGCAATCCCGAGGTCAGGCAGCAAGGCAGTCACTTTGATGACAGCCCAAGGAAATCGATCCCGTCAGCCAGCAAAGCCATCCGCGAAGCTCTCTCCTGCCGTCCCGGAGTATGAGCTCAGGACCTTTGAGGCTCTAGTTGCACAATGCTCTCTATAGCTACCAAAAGATCAAGTTTTTGAAACCCAGAAATGTGAGCATAATTGAACACAGGAAAGCAATAATGTCATCTGGTAGTCGACTGAGAACGACAGTAAAGTAAGTGTGCGTTTCATAGATTTCCGATCTAAATGATACAAGCCTTGTTCAGAGGAAAATCTCTAAGTCCTGATACCTCTCCATACCTCCCACCACCTACACCACTCTCCCAGACTTGTAATAAATCTAGTCTTTCCGTTGATGTCCCGTGACGCCAAAAACTCCACACATGAACGCGCGTAAATGCAACAATGAGACGACCTTCAGGCAATAATCGTCATCTAGTTTGAGTGGATCTTCTTGATCCTGTTGACACCCTCGTACAACGCGCGGTCCACAGCCGCAGCGACAGTAAGAGTACCACCGATCACGGCGCAGAGACCAACGAGGAAGCCAGAGAAGGACTTTTCACGGGCTTCGCGGTTGATGACCTTCATGGGTGAGATGTCCTATTGCAATCATTAGTAACCATATCAAGCAATACGAAGTTGGTACTTGGGAACTTACATAAGAGAAGAAGACACCGGGGATACCACCCCGAGCGTGAATCCTCTCCTTGTGACCCTCCTTCTCATCAGAACCACCCTGCAGACTCCTATGATGGCTGGTCACAGAGTACTGGTGCGTCTCAATGCTGCCCTTGTATGAAGCGTCAATGGTCGCGCCAAGGAGCTCATCATGTTTTGCGGAACGAGGAAGCTGATTCTCCCAGCCGAGTGGCAAGTAAGCGGTCGACACGACCTTGATGAAGTACATGAAGTTGTAGGCCTTTTCGTCGGTATGCTGCTCGGTGTTGTCAAGAGGGTTGATGTGGTGGTTTGACCATCCACCGGCGCCAGAGCCTGCGTGCTTCCTCTGCATGTCCTGGACAACGACATCGCTAAGCTGGGGGCCGAAGCGAAGCTGGTGAACCTTGTGGGTGAAGGTATGCGCGTACTCGTCTTTGAAGTAGTTCTCGAGATCGTGAACGTGCAGGTTGCCGTTCGAGAACGATTTTCCAGGAGCGATGTGGAAGTTACCGACAACCTTGTTGACGCGGATGCTGCCCTCAAGACGACATCCTTCCTGACGTTGCTGGTCGAGATGTTCGGCGTAGTGTTCCCGCTCGCATTGTTCGACTCCCTCTCCACGACCGAAAGACCAAGAGATCGAGGCGTATGCGTCGCGGACTTCGTCGCAGGTATTGCAGCAGCCGGGCTTGATTGCGTTGGTGGGGGCAGGTGCGCCGTAACATTCGCCGCAGTAGTCGGGAGCAAGATGTGACGCTTCGTCCGCGTGCCTGAAACCGTCGTTAGCACTCTGTTGCTTCCCGTATGCGCCTGCGCCCAACAGCGACTCCATGGAGACTTACAGATCCAAAGCCTTGATATCAATAACCGTGCTGCCCTCCTTCTCAGGGCTCAATCGCACCTTGTTGATGCCATGCGTGACACCCATCTGCAACTCTCCAGAAACATCCATGACATCGAGCGTGAGCAGCTCGCATGGTACCCGTGGGAACGTTACGTTCAGGGCAATTTCCATGCGTTCGCCTCTGCCCTTATCAACCACCAATTCCGGTCGCACAGTCACTCTCCTGTAGTCGGCCCACTCGCCCCACGTTAACCAGAAGATAACCAACAAGCTGACTATGGTGACGATTCCACCAGATGTAGTGCGCACGCGCGCATCTTCGACCGTCTTGGTGAAGGCGTCGAGCCTCGTGAATCGCGATTTGGCGGGCATAACGGCGGGTTACCGCTGCAGGGTAGGTGTGATTGCAGGAAGTTGTGTGAAGCCCTACAGTAGAAGGCAATTGGGGTCGAGACCAGTGGGGTTGAGGGTGCAGCCGAACGTTGTCTCGAGACGTGGTCGTAGCTCGCGTCTTGAACAAGGACCGAGTTGACTTGAACTGCAAACGCAATTGGCGCTGCTTCTTGAAAGAGGTGAAAGTGAAGGAATGAATATCAGCACTGTCCGTGCAAAAGCCGCAGTATCATCGTCCAGAGAAGAGAACTGGCAAGCAAGTCAACGCGTGGACGCGGCAACGTTTCGGCTGAACTAAAGGACAGCTATGCGACTGAACACTAGCTCCGAGCGCCGCACCACGCTAGCGTGCTTCGGGTAGGTGCGCATACCGAGCACGTGGAGCTGCAGCCCTGGAGTGGTTCACCAATACCAGGAACCGTTTAGTTAAAGGGGGAATTGAGAGTTGCAGTCAAGTTGTACACAGAATTGAAGTAATTTCATTAGGTCTTAGAGGCATGCAGGATGCTCCATCATACCGCTATTCAAAGGTGAACCAGATTGGCGTTGTGCCATCTGAGGGGCATATTATAAATAGCCTACGAAGCGAGAACGTTTCTAAGCATGCTGTTGAAACCATCACTGAGCTTGTATAGCTCCACGATAGGTGGCTTTTTCGGTTCGCCTGCCTTTCTCCGAAGCTTCTCAGCAGCGCGCGCTCGGCTCTTGCGCTCAGCCTCAATCGGGTCTGCGATATCTGTATCGTCCATGTCTTCCGAGTCGGTGGAGTCGCTACCATCATCATCGAGTTCAAGATCCTGGAGGTCCATCTGTATCTCGTTAGTGTATGGCCAATATGTTGTCAGAGAGGAAAACGAACCGCGTTCAGCCCAAAGTCGCTCGACTTGAAGCCGGCGATACCACCCATAAGCGGATCAGGGTCATCACCACCGCTCGCCATCTTTTGCCTTGTCTTGTCCGAATGCCACTTCTTCCTCGCCATTTGCCACTTGATCAGACTGTTGATCTCACGAATGGCCTTGTTCTTGTCGATCATATTTGAATCGATTCCACCCTGGAAGAGCGCATTCATATCAAGCTTACCGCCACTTCCAGGGCCGTGACGCAGGAAGTCCAAGATACCCTCTAGCCATCCCATGAGCTGGTCGAAGAGACCGTTGTCATGCTTGTGCACCTCGTGAACGAACTTGTAGAAGTTATCCTCGTGGCGGGCGCACAGATCTATGAAGGCCTGCACGGTTTGATTGGGGTCTGCAGAAATTTCTTGTCGTTGACAAGCTTCGATGGTTTTGATGGTGTCATCGGCGAACATGGCGAAGTCGGTAATACTGTTGTAAACGTTTGCGGATTTGTATACACGGACAAGAGGTTCGTAGAAGATGGTGAACAAATCCCGGAAGAGCTGCAGCGTGGTCGGCTAGAAGTACGTCAGTCATTCATCTCTGGAATCGCCTTTCCGTCAAACTTACTTCTTCGATGATCTGGAGCATCATGAGCTTATCCCTCTGTCTGAGACACAGCTTCAAGTATTGCTTGAGGTGCGCGAAAAGCTCAGCGCCAGATCGCATCTCCTTCTCGACCTGACCGGTCGCGTTAGTAGCTGTGCTGACGGTGCTGCGGGTGCTAGCTCTTCTGCTGAGGCGGCTCGATCTCACATTTTCGACCGCGTTGTTCCATGCAACGTAGGCATTGAAAACCTTCTCCACTTGTTGCGAAGACAATTCTGGTTGGAAGAACTCGGAGCGCAGTATGGTCACGACGACATCGACGTTGTCGCGCGCAGCTTCTTGTCGAATCGCTTCCTTGACACCTTCATCCGCTTGTACGTATGCTTTGATCTTGTCGCAAAGAACATCATCCTTGATCCTCGTGGAACCAAGTGTGTCGATCGTCTTCTGTACAGAGTTGACACCGTCGTTGATGGCCATACCAAATATACGCTGAAGTAATGAACGAGCGCCGAACGGCTGTGCAAGGAACAGATCCAGAACCCCACTCATGACGGCTGCAGGGTTGGCTATCCTAATGACGTTCTTGAGGACACCGTAAGGAACGAGAGAATGTATGCGTTTCGCCTGTGCAAACAGCTCGGGGGAATTGTCCTCGGCTAGGAACAAATGGTAGATGGTAGCAGCCACTTCTATCCGTAACCACTCTGCGAACTTTTGGTACTCTGGCTTCAGGTCTCGGATGGTGTTCTTGACTCTGACCTCTTGGAACAGGTGTGAGAGTCCATTGCTCTCTACAATTTCTCTCCTGAACTTCTCCATGTGGATGTCAAGCTCCGCTGCTCGCTTCCGCGCGACTTCGTAGAACTGCTTTTGTTCCTCGATGCGCTTCTTGTCCATCTCTTCTCGCCTCTGGATGTCTTCCATTTCTTCCTCATTGACCTCAATGGGATCGTGTGTCAGGAATTCAGCCATGGCACTTGACTGGGCGATTCGCTCGTTGTGTAGGAATGATCGGAGGAATGCGCGAAGAGAAACACGTTGTTCTTCCCTGTACAGCTTACGAGGAGCTTTGTACGCTGAAAAGTCCGCTGAGGCTCTCGGCGAACGTCTTCCTAGTGATGTCTGTGAGGCGTTCTTCTTATGTCCGCCCCAGAGATAGCTACGCAAACCACCGCCACTGCTCTCAACAGGTTCAGGAGGGGGAGGTCCTTGGGTAGATCCTGACGAGATAGAGCTAACATCGTCGTCATCAGCACTTGATTGTAGGAGGCCATCTTTCGCATTCTTTCGAGGTAATGGAGCGAGCACTTTTCCGGGAAGTTCGAGACGTATGCGTTTGTGCAATTGAACGAAGTCTGCGTATCGGCGGCCAATGTAGAAGTCCTTGTCTCCGTCGTGCTTTACACGAATGAGGTACTCCTGCAAACGCATAATTAGGTTCTGTCTTCTTCCAACGTGTATACATACTTACCGCATGTGTGTGGTAGCGGAGATGTCTCTTCACCGATGTTGTTCTGACGCCTGCGACATTGACGTCCCAACCATTGATAGCGTGTCCGCTCGGCTCATTCATCGTAAGACCCTTTTCATCTGCCTGTCGGTCCACAATCTCCATCTCGGCAAAGCGTATTCTTTCTTCGTAGCCTGAGGCGGTGGGGATGCCAGAGACCATCATCAGCTCGACCAGCTTCTCGGCCTTGAGCGCTAGCTTTCTCCTCTTCGTTTCTTCCAGGCGGTCTTCTGAAGATGAGATATCCTTGCTCGCGAATGACTCCAGGAACTAGAACGGCACCTTTGTCAGTTCCTTCTCTACCCAGTATGACCTCATACAACGTACGACTTGTAGCTTGTCCTGCCAGAACTCCTTCTCTTTGGCCTTGTCCAGGAAGGGAAAGTTCCGAACATGATTGACGAATATGTAGCGGAGGAGGGGCAGCTCTGAGTCTTCCGGCGCAACTTCGCCGGCATCTGAGCGAAAGGGTGCGCCAAAGCGTCGCAGCGCTGTAGGAGAGGAGAGTTCGGCGATTTCGTACTTTGTTTGCTGGGAGATGAGTTCGCGCTTGAGGTCTGCGCCTTCGTTAGCTTCGCCACGGGCTATGGATGATGTTGTACGGCTTACAGTGCTCTTGTTTGCCTGTCAATATGGACCCCTCTGGCGGCACCGACATGGTCGAGAACTTCGAGTAGGATGTATCATTACGCTGGGGCACCGCCGGCCGCGCGGGCTCGCCAAAGTTCTGTACTGAGGGCTGAGGATTCATCGTGGTGGGCTCTGTGGCACCGTTGAGCTGGATGGCAGGCGGGGTGTCGAGGTTGGCGGGCATAGTTGGATTAATAGCAACGTTAACGCGCGGGCTAGGGAGCCGCGATCCGAAAGAAGAAGATAAGGTGTAGAAGGAGAAGGAATAGCGAAAAGCAGACTTTGGGGTCCCTGCAGATGACCGTCGACGCGTGTTGTATGACGCCTGACTAGCACGACGGAGTACCTGTGGCTGCAACTGAGGCTGGTGCACTGCGGAGATGCGGGCACGGCACCAAGGACAAGAGATACGATGGGTCTGCACCGCCCGTTCTTGCTCAAAGTGGATCAATTCAATGCTTGTCGGCACTGAAGCAGAGTCGGGCGCGTAAAGGATTGTGGCTGAGTGACGCAACCCGATGCCTTAGCTCATCTGACGTATGGAGCGCAGAGGCCCACGAGGCCAAACGAAGGAAAGAACGGCATCCTATGTCTTGGCCGTGTTCGCCCTTTGTTCCCCATCTCGTCTGCACAATACGCGTCGCGTATCCTGGGAATGAATACGAGGCGTTCTGGTCAAATTGACAAGAGTACCCCTCCTCGGAACGGTGCCTAAGACTCGGAAGTACCTGAAATCGGACCGCATTCGGCTCGCTTCTGCTCTCGAAGATCGCACTCGCACATCGCCAGGCCATGCATGGCTGACTGACTCCCCTTGGCGCAGCCTGTCACTCATATCTAGCAAGGAAATATGACATCGAACACGTTCTGGCCACGGGCCAAGATATTTGATTGACTAACTAGTACAACATCACGCCGGGTACTATCGTGTGCGAACATTAAGGTTTTCAGTTACAATTTGACTAAGGTTGATATCTACTCAATTGTACTCGTACAAGCCCGATGGGTAAATAAATCAAAATGCCAGTCTATGGCGATAATTAGCCCAGGACGCCGGCCTGTTCTGTTCCCAAAATGCTGCCAAGACCTTTCATGGCATTTCGGCAGAAGAATTCAAGTTACCCACGCTAACGCCAGCCCACTTCACATCTTACATGATAACCACCAATGCACTCGGAGGTCCAAGGCTCAGTAGTTGAGCTCGCCACTGCCACCACCGCCAACCGCATCCAAGTCTTCGTAGCTCTTGATTGATCGGCCTTGCACAGACTGTACAGGTCCAGGCCCGCCCTCACCGTATCGCTGAGGACCTTGACGGCTACCACGAGGTGGAGGGGTCAATCGGCCGCCGTTAACAGCGGGACGAGCACGGCCGTCACGAGGTTGACGATCGTAAGGTCCGGTACGGTTGTTGAAGCGATGGCCGCCTCGTCGCATAGGTCCGGCACGGTCATCGTGGGCAGCATTGGGGTCCCAGTTACCGCCCATAGCAGGATTGAACAAAGCGCCCAAATGCACGCCGTTCTGCATACCGTTGTTCGCCATTGCCATGTTCATATTGGCCAAGTTGAATCCCCGCGGCGTTCCAGTGGCCTGGACATGATTGCCCATCGGGAAGTGGCCATTACTGTTGGCATCACTACGGGATGGAGCAATATGCGCAGGGTCGACAACATAGCTGTTGACCAGTCGCAGCTGTTTCGCATTAGCAAATGTATCCTTACAAACATTCCTGTGAACACTTACGTCCTTGTGTAATTTCTCAAGCCATTCAGGATGACGCTTTTCAGTATGCTTTCGCCAGAAATGCTGGCCTTTGAACAACTTTGTGCATTCCGGAACCTTGCAACGCCACTTGGATTCATCCTCCTGCTTGACATAACGCGAGAGTTCATCCTCGATAGCTTCGTCGAGAGGCTTGCCGCCGAGCTTGCGGATATCAACATTCTCCGGCTCAAGTAGCTGTAGCAGCTTTTCCTCATACGTCTTCACCCAGTTGAATGCTCGTTGAAGTTGTTGTTGGTTCTTGGTACTCAACCGCATCGGCTTCTTCTCTTGCACAGGACTACCGCCCTCGCCATTCTCTGCGTCACCTGAAGACTCTTGCTTCCTGTAAGGAAAGAGGTCTCCAGTAGCCGTAGCTCTCGCGGTAGCCTTGGCCGCAGTTGTAAGACTAGCGCGCGGTCGGCGAAGATGTCCTCCCGCGCACTTGCGAATCAACTCGTGGACAGAGTCGCTCTCAAAGACGCAGAAGAAGCAGAAGTTGTAGACACGTCGGAGATACTCGATGAGGAGATCAAGCTTCTTCTTCTTGGCCAGCAGCTCTTCATCATCCACTTCATCATCGAAAGCACCCTCGTCGTCTTCCATGGTTTCATCTTCACCCTCCTCCAGGTCTTCTGGATCCCGCGCTTTCTTGGTCGGCACCGGGGCATTGGCTGGGGGCTGAAGCCAGCCTTTCGAGCGCAGAGCCTCGACACGTTCTTCGATCTTACTGACACCGTCGACGTTTGAGAATTCTTCTTCGTGTTGCGCCTTGAGGTCGGAGTCGAGCTTCCTCACGAGTCGTTCAGCAAGCTCTAGATCACGTTCGATTCTCTCAGGCGCAGAGAAGAGGTCCCAAAGTGCCTTCTTGCGAGGAGCGGCAGGAGGTTCATGAATGCCGACGTGGCAGGTGAAATTGCCACGCTCTTCATCGATCACGGTCTTGCCGTTGAGAGCTTCGAGAGCCTTGTGAGCGGTAGACTGTGGGCCTTGGGCAGCTTCAGGCTTATCCTCAACAGCCCCTTCTTCGGCATCGTCATCGCGTCCATCACCACGGTCGTCGATGACCATTGGCTGCTCGTCGCTTGGATTGAGAATGACCCAACCGATGCGGTGGCACTTCTTAAGTGGGTTGGGGTCGCTCATACTGAGCCACTTGAAGCCGCCGGGGCCTTCTCCTAAATGCTCCTTGCAGAACTCCTCGACCTTTTCGCGGTTGACCGTGGGCGCAATAGTCTTGATGAGTAGCGTAGGCTGAAACGCGGTCTCATCGCGGATCTCGCCGCCTTTGCAAGGCAACAAATCGCCCACGCCAAGCACCTCGTTGGCAGCCGTTGTCTCGCCCTCTTCCTTTTCCACGATCCCTCCAGCACCGTTCGAATCGTTTTTGTAGATACCTTCCAGCGTGAACTCGTCGAAGTAACCCTCATCTATTTGTCTCTCCCACTCCTCGTAGATGCCGTGGCGATATTGACGGAGCTTCTCCTTGAAGGCCAAGTCATAGTCTGGGTCGTAGCGCTCCTTGAACCACTCTTCGTTCTTATGCTTGTCTACAAACGTCTTCGCCATCTGGACTTGTAGCTTCTCCTTGTACTCGTCATACGCGGCCTGGATCTGTTCGCGCTCCTTGCCCCGTTCCTCTCGAGCTTCGCGCTCGCCTTTGAGACCAGGTTTGCGTCCGCCATTCTTTGCGCGCTCCTTCTCCTCCTTCATGAGCTGCTCCACACGCCACCACTCTGCGAAGTAGTTGAACCCGACCTGGTATTCGAGGTGCATAGGGTTCGGGACCGGGTTTGTGGTGAAGGTCGGCGCGAAGTTGTCCTGACCAGGCACGTACCGATCGATGCCTGCCTGCACGGGCGGAGGCGAGGAGCGTCGTCGGTTGCCATCTCGGCGGGGGCCGTCGTAGTCGCGCGCGCGATCAGGTTGGTAGCGGTCGATGTTCTGGGGCGAGCGCGATCGTCGCCTGCCTGCCCTACGGTCTCCGGAGCCTTTGTGACGCATGTTAGCTCAGTCTGATGTTTCAGAAGCGATACAAGATGAGGTTTAGAAACGATGCCGGTCATGTCCAGGAGTCATACAGTAACGCCAAAGTACGCGCAATCGGTCTGTGCTAACAGCGCTTGGCGAGAGAGGCCCGGAGCAAACACGCGGAATAGTTTCGCGTGATGGTGACGGTGAAAAGGAAAGTCTGTCACGTCTCAAAAAGGGTATCTGGCTTACCTGGTGAACGGCGTCTGTACGAATCCGCGGGCGGCCTGGAGTCCTCACGCGTTGCACTGCGAGCCGTTAGCATCGTACTTTGCGCACCGTCTTCTGCACCAACATACGTGTACGAGTCCATCGCTGCGGTATGCACGCGTGATAAGATGGTGAATGGTTATGAATATGTGGCGCGAAATCGAGACAGGCAGTCGTGTTTAGGCAGCTCGGAGTGAGTGTAGTGCAGCGAGCCTGGGGGCAGCGCGCGTAGTCTTCGGTTGCTTTGACGCGCAATCTCGCCGGGAGTATGCGCTGGGTGGGAGTGGATGCTCGACAGGCAATCGGCGCGGGTAGCTGTTTGCCATGATGGCTCGGTCAGAGAGGAACAAGTCAGGGACAAGGTGACGGAGAAGGAATGCGATTAGTAACGAGGAAGAAGAGGCGGGTAAGAAGTGACAAGAAGCCGACACGCCTGGTGCGATTGAGAGCACACGGGCAGCGTCGCAGGAAGATAAGGTCAGAGAGGCAGCTGGAGGGAGGCTGGGCGCAGGGCCACGGGGACGAAGCTGTCCGAGCTATCGAGACAGCTGTACAAGAGGAAGAAGGGGTACGAACAATGGGACAGCTGAAGGACGAGAAGGTGCACTCACGATGTGCTAAAGTGACTCCCGGGCAGAACGATGCCGGTGGAGAGGGCGATGGCAGAGAGAAGGGTGAGGTACGTCGCGGAGGGCTGGAGAGACCCGAACGACGGCTGAGACGGGGCTAGCGTTCCACGCGGAAAGTGGACCCGGCCTTCCACGCGTTGGCCGAGGCTGTGATTGGCGCTCCGAAAATATCACGAGATGCGGAGTGCAGGTACACGACGCTTCTTTCTTTGGCGACTTCTGCTATTGCGTATGTGACATTGATCGACAGTTACACACGAATCTCATCACTAAACGCCATCATGACGAGCTACATCCCCTCCCTCACGCTTCCCAGCTTTGCTTTCGAGAACCCTGCAGTGGCTATCCTGCTACCTGTTCTGTGTGGAACAGCCACAGGATTTGCCATCAGCCGTAAGTCGGTGGTAGATTCGTGCCGGAATGGTTTTCTGATTCCAAAACAGCAAGTGTGTCTCAAACAGCATACCGAACGCTGAAGCAACCTCCACTACATCCTCCTGGTTATGTATTCGGACCAGTCTGGACAGCACTCTATGCCACCATGGGCTACACAGCCTATCGCGCGTACACTATTGGAGCGACGTCTGCTAACCCCAATACTGTTGCTCTGGCGAAGGTATGAGAATGCTATGCGCGATCTGCTAATATCCGAGCTAACCCGGTGCAGCACGGAGCCACTCTTTACACTATCCAGCTCGCCTTGAATCTCATATGGACTCCTCTCTACTTTGGTCTCGGTCGTCCCATTCCTGCTTCAGTTGACATTCTCGCTCTCGGTGGAACTCTTGCCTACCTTATCAATGTCTGGGGACAAGTGGACCCAGTTTGCGGATGGCTGCTCGCACCCTACCTTGGTTGGGTCAGCTTCGCAACATACCTCTGCGTAAGTACCATCACCATTCGACGTTCGTGAATTGCCAAAGGCTGATGCTGCAAACAGATTGGATCAGGTTACCTGAACAACTGGGACTTCAGGGCCATCTCGAAGAAAGATTAAGATATTCGTCGGTATCGACTAAGTCTCCAGAAAAGGTTGTATCTCCACATCACTTGACAGTGTAACATAGATCCTCTTACGGGAGCTAAGTATACACATGTACTATCATATTGTCCAATAAATGTACATTACAATTCCTGGAGATACTGGTGCCCTCCCCCCTCCTTGACACTAACGTAACAAACTATTGTCATGATATTTGGCAAAGACGTTTCATCGAGTCCGAGGCCTCTCGGTTTCATTAATCATGGTTTAGCCACTGCATATTTACTTTGCAAATAATACAAAGTCTGCGCGGACTTAGCAAGCTTGCTATAGAGTGAGCCGGTGGAAGTGGTGGAGCACACAGAACTGGTCTGTAACGGAGGAAGAGACACAGAAGATATGAGCGAAAGATCTTGAGCATGCGAAACAGACATCTGACAGGAAAGTGGTTGTACAGGATTTAAGCGCTACACCAAGTCGTGACGTTTTACTCATACGTTCCGGGTTGCGGAGGCCTATAGGTCTGTGCACTTTTTCTGATTCATTCTCCATTATCGCCTCATATTACGACTGCCTGGTCCGTACCCTCTGGTTCTGGTATTTAGATTCCCAATGTCGCTCAATCCAGAGCCCTTCCACAGTCTCGACTACTCAGCTTCAATCTTCTAACACAATGTTACAAATCCAGTCAAGGCAACAATCACTCGAACAAACGGAGCACAGCGACGATAGCACAGGGATCGCCACTGCACTCGCTGCTCTGTAGGTCAAATCTCTTCTGATACACACTTCAGCTAACATGTTTAAATAGCAGTCTCCAGAATCAAGAGCAATGCGTCCTTCTCCGCCTTCCCCCAGAGCTTCGAAACGCAGTCTATCGGTACGTCTTTCAAGAAGACGACATAGAGATTTGCGCCCCAATTGGCGAGAATACCAGCAATGATGGTCACACACATTATCCTAGACAGAACCTACAGCTACTTGGGACTTGCCGTCAAATCTATACCGAGGCCAGGCTACTTCCTTTCGCCTCGAATACATTCAAGGGTGGTCATTGGGCACTGCGAAGCATTACAAAGCTTCTCAGTTGGGATCAAGCCGATGCCATATCAACTATCGATATTGTGGTCGATGACTATCACTTCAGTTACACCATGGATGTATCGGAACCGGGACACTCATTCGAGAATTTATACGCGCCCGTCCGTTTGGTTTTACATGATACTTTGTTATCGACGTTAGAGAGGCTTGCAAGGCTACCGGAGCTGAAACAAATTCTTCTCTCTCCCTCGCAATACGAGGACAACCCCTGGAAGCAGATCTGGAAATTCGGTTGGGCGGAGGATTGCAGACTGTTGGTAGTAGACGCATTGCGACAGCAGAGAACTCGCCGCAAAGAGATAGAAACTCGTTTGCTGGTTGAACAGTAACAATTTTGGATTTGGGTATCGATGTTGTGGCATCGACACAGCTGATAGGCCGAGATAAGGGACTGGGCCGTTTGTACTGTGATTTCATGTCGCCTCACCGCCCCTACCGGTAGTTTCGGACTCACACTCTGGTCGTATGTAATTTCCATGGTCTTTCAAACTTGTTCAATCCTACCTTAAATGTTTTTGAGCCTCCATTGCGTAAGGATAAGATGGGACTATGCAGCAACTCAGTCACTGCAGCTAAGGATGCCGATGACATCGGAATGAGATCGTGTCAACCTCATTCCCAAATGAGATGCTACGTGTGAAGCCGAGATAGGTGCTTGCTACTGAGAGCTCGCATCTAAGGCCTCTGGGGAGCTGTGTTACAGCCAGTGAGGAGTCGCTTCTGGTGTGTTTCTCCGAGCAAGTGGAATCCATGTACTCGACTGCAGTACACGAATAGTGTGGACGATCATGTTAGAACTCGATAAAAGCTTTTCTGGACCATGGAGAAGCGTTTTTCATTCGTGATCTCTTGTGGTGACGCTGTTGAGAGTGAATTGAACCGTCCAGATCGTAAGCGTGGCAGCAACCAAATACATGTCCATTGGCACCGACACATCTGAATAACTCATGCATAGTCACCGACACGTTCCGTCACGCATGCTCGTTCCGCGAGCACGTCATCTAAATCTCACTTTTTTGCAATGGCTCGCGCCTTCCCTCCACACCGTGCTCCTTGTTTACCGCCCCACTTTCCTCGCACATGCTCAAAAGTGATTACGCAGCCTTCTTGATCTTACTATCAGTACTCAACTCCCAGGGCTCTGTATCCGCCATGTACTCGCCCGCCGAGGCTATGTCTGTTCCCGAACGTGTACGCTACTACGATCGCAGTGTTGTGCTCATGGATCGCCTCGCAGCAATGTGAGTACTGGATCTTGCATTCGTTGTACTGCTAGCTAACGAAGACACAGCTCACAGCGCAACCACCGAAAGTCACCCCTCCTTCGTCTGCCAGCAGAGCTCCGCAACAAAATCTACAAATACGCTTTCCTCTCCCATCCAGTCCGCCCAACCCGTGAGCACAGAGAGTGGCCACACTGGGCATATCCAAGATCACAATTGAACCTACTGGAGACTTGCCGCCAGATCTACTTCGAAGCCAACCTCTTCCCGTTCGCCCTCAACGTTTTCGTCGGCTACGCAGAGCATGTCATCGAGCTGTTGTTGACGACTTTCACTCCTTCCCAAACCGACATTATATCCGATGTACGGCTATATGTTGACGCCTTCGGAGTGTACAGGGATGGTAAGATTCCAGAGGCCGGACTCAAGGCATGGTTCATTGAGGAACTAGGGGACCTGTGTCAGCTTATCAGTCTGAAGGACGTGACACTGATCTGGTTTGGTAGCGACATTGAAGTTGTCAAGGAGCACTTGAATGCGACAGTGTTGGACGTCTTCAAGGAGGCGGGTCGAGGAGATATCAAGGTCGCGGTCCGGTACTTCGATTGAGGTGTCGTGTGTCTGAGTGCTTGTCATATTTAGCTTCTACTGTGTTACTTGTCGGAAATGAAACTCTTGTCATCCATTAATGTTGATAAGCCTCACAAAGGAGGTACATTGCCACAAACTGTACCAGCGAGATCGCACTCTGAAGGTGGGCGCAATGCTTGACACTATCGTAGAGCAATTGGGTCTTATGCCTTCTGGGTGTGGTCTAGCTGGACGGTGGAGAACATGATCTTTGAACATTCCGCTGTGACTGCATTACTTCAAAGGGCTGCTCCTTCGGGTGTAAGATGTTCAACTAAAACTAAGCGTACGAACACCGAAAGATTGTGGCGTCAGTTCCCTCCAGGGCTGGCTCGTGCGGGCGCAAACATGCGGCACGTGACCCGGACCCTGCCAAGAGCTGCTGCAGCCTAACCGCTTGTATTATTCTTTGTTGCCCCACGCTCTGCTTTGGCAAAACCTCACCAACAACCGCCCGCCGAACGCCGAACCTCAAATCTCGCTGCAGTGGAAGGGGTGCGCATTACTAACAAGTGAAAGTGACAGATTTCCTGACCCGCCAGTGCTAACATGGCGCCGCTCGGTCCGCCTCCGTACACGGCCGAACAGCTCCAAGCGATAACCTCACATCAGGAACGTATTCGCGCCCAGGCAGAGCTCACCAGTATGTGAAAGCCGAGTCGCAAGGTCAGAAAGATACTTACGATCTAATTCTAGGCTACATTACGCGCGCCAGGAGAGAGAGGCAAGAGAGGGAAGAGCGCGAGAGGCTTCAGTCGAACGCTTATTCTGGCTCTGGTTACCGCACCACCTCCGGCAGCTTCAACCATTACACTCCTCCCTCCATTCCTTCCTACGCCCCCGTTCATAACCCCGTCTTCAATCCCGTCTACACCCCCGTCTCTGATACTTCCTACAACCCTCCGTACAACAAGTTCAACCAGCGCGGTGGCTATGGTAGAGGCAGAGGCCGTGGCGCCGTAGGCAGAGGCAGAGGCTACACACCCTACCACCCCTACGCGCGTCCTCCCAATGCACCTACGTACACTGGATTCGCTACTGATTCCAATGGCACAAGTATTGTCACCCAACCACGCGAGGCCAAAGAGAACGAGGATCCAGCGCAGGCACCGGCGGCCAGCACCAGGTCCTCATCCAGAGATCACCAGCCGACCGAACCATCAAGACTTTGTGCCAACTTCACACATACAGGTATTTCGACGAAACGACATTTCGGGACCTTTCCTCACCCATTGTTCGCCTCTAACTTTCGTCTAGGTCGGTGTTCCATCCCGGGTTGTCCTTTTGGTCATGATCCGGACACACAAACCGTATGCAAGTCGTTTCTCTTCAAAGGTGTTTGCTCCGACAGCAACTGTCAGCTGTCCCATACTGCATCGTCGCACAACACGCCTACGTGCCAGCATTTCCAGGCAGGCCGATGCACCAAAGAAGACTGCCGCTTTGCTCATGTTCGTGTCAATCCATCTGCACCGAACTGCGAAGCTTTTGGACGCTTGGGTTACTGCCAGAAAGGAGATGCCTGTGCCGAGTTGCATGCATATGAGTGTCCCACCTTCGCCAACACGGGAGAGTGTTCCTACACCGGTAAATTTCACTATCCACACGTTCGTCTTGCCTCTCGCATGAGGAAGACCACCCGTCTGTCTTCTCCAGTTCAGTCCCCGCCTAATTCCCCCGTCCGTTCTCGTTCATCACACACCCCTGCTACTTCGGACGCCCCAGAGGATGATATGGATACTGCCGAGGATGCTCATGAGTGGATGATGCCGAAGACTGGAACTTCTCCGAAGCCACAGCAGTTCACACAGCAGGCGGACTTCGTTGCCTTTGAGAACGACGACGAGTAGCATTGCCCACTCACTGGATCCGTGATATCCGGACATAGTATGTGCCCCTCTGCTCAGCTTCCATTACAGTCCTTCCTAATTTGAGGTTTCCAAAGTTTCCAACCTGTGGGTTTCCGACCTGGTAGGTAATCTCTGGAACGCATTCAGCTTGTCTTGACTTTTGAAGGTCCAGAGCTATTCATGGCGTCCAGGGTTCTTTCGATGATACCCC